AATAGTAAAAGATTCAGTATCTGTATTTTGTACAAGAAACCAATGGCCAAATATTAATATCATAATGACATATCACCTTTAAAATAATTGTTCTTAAAAAATATATGTACCTATGTATCTCCATAGATATGTGTATGTAACTGTCTTTACATAGACTACTGACATATACATAGGTACATTCTCTCTACACATGCATACACATGCACATGCTTATTTAAACACAGTTACACCTAAAGAGGTAATCTTTAATGCTCATTTCAAATTAGAAAATGCTAGAATGAAGGTAAGAAACTGACATTCTTACATGGTTGCTACACACAGCATGTTTTCCCTAACCTTGTCTCCTCACTGATATACTTCCTTTAAAAAAAAAAAAAAAGGAAAGTATTTATTTATGCATACAAGAACTAGGGAACAGGTCAGAAATGTGGGGGAGGAGGGTTTGAGAGGACTCACCTAAAACAGTAGGAAGTGGAGCAGGCGTATTGAATGAAATACACTGCTGAGGGGAGCAGTGGGTGGAACAGGAGAGATTTGCTGTTCCATGTAGGTCACCTTCCTGGCTGAGAATCAAACTCATGCTACAGTGGCTTCATGTAGTGCTGTGCTTTAACCCCTTGCACTACCACAGAGGATCCTGATATACTTTGATTTTTTTTTTTCCAATCTCATGGTTTTCAAGACAACTATGATGGTTCCCTATCTTCTGTAGCTCCAGCCAGAATCCTCCAGAACATCTAATCTATATTGTGACTTTACAAAGACCTCTATAAAGAAAGAATAATAGGTAATGTAACTTGAAAGTAAACAAAAAGCTTTTAAAGTTTAAATCTTGCCTTTGTTGTTTATAAGTTGTGTGTCTAAGTTACATGTCACTTCGAATTTCAGTTATGTAAACCTACGTATGACCCCCTGGAAGTTTACTAGTATTAGTTGACCAAGAAAGAAAGAATTCAGATCTGTTTCTGCAAAACATACTGGTTAAACCTGAAAACAAACATCAACAATTTCATTTCAGCCTGACCGTAAGAAAATAAAACCTTCCTGGTGGGCAATACTTGAAGCAGTGAATGTAGGTTTTTAATTCTCTCTGGAAAGAGAAATGGCCAGAGGTACAATTCTGTTGTTCCCAATTGTGGGAAATACCTATTGATTTATTAGCTTGGTCAGAGAATTAGAACACTATTAGAAAATAAGTGACAAGTCGTCCGGGGATGGATTATGCAAGCAGACTTCTCTAAGGGTCAGCTTGGGAAGATATCCATGTCTCATATACTCACCAAAAGAATACTCAGGAGTATTTAAATAATCATATAGACAAGATATTCATATTCATATTCATTCTTGCTTAGCCACCCTGTACTTTCCTAATAGCTCAAAGTCAAAAGAGGTAATGCAGCAGGAATGGAGATTAGGATGGGCTCAGTGACATTGACTTACTCTCTTCAAGGCAAGTCAAGTCAATAATCACTGCTGAATGCTAAATCTACCACATGGAAAAGCTAACACCAGTCCTCCATTTGGAACCATTCCCAAGTTAAATGAAGGTGATAAGCCAGCCATCAGCGCCAAATTGATTCCAATGAATCACTTCCATCTTGGGAAAGATAGCCCTGTATTCATACCTGAACACACCAACACAAATTTCCTTTTCCTTCCTGTGACTCTTACATGAATATTAACATTCATAACCTTGAAATATGATAGCTTTAGCACTGTGATATGCCACATAGGATAGGTTTTGATCAAGAAATGTAGTTTATAGCAAATAAAGTGCCTCAAAGGGACTCATGATTATGAAGTCACTGATCTTAATTTCCATCACTGATAGAATAGTGTTATCACCTGCTAGACTGTTACTTGCAGCAAAAACTGGATAACACTACCTTGTATGTCTACAATAATGTTTAAGATGCTGGTTAATCTCTCAACAACCAACCAACAGATGGTGCTATTTTTCTAGGTCTAGAATTTATAATTTTGGGAATCAAAAGGGGTATATGGTATATAGTGGTTCCTTCATAGTTACCATTAGTAGTCCACCAGAGATTTCATTTCCTATTTCCATGACTTTGGGCTTTGTTGGTCTAAGAGTCTTAGGCTTCCAGTAATCATAACAATAGTTCCATTAAACTAGAAGTTCACAAGGAAAGGGACTTTTAATTGCTGGATTAGAACATTTAGTTTTAAGAGACAAAATTACATCATGTTAGGTAGAAGTTTATTGTTTCATTTGAATTGTGAGTACAGTTAAGAAAGATGTGCACTAATGTCAACATGACAAAGAGTGGATGGCATGTATCAAATTATGACAACTTGAACTGCTTTTTCCAGAATTCCCTTTACCTCTCATTTCAGCCTCAATTAATCACAAAACAAAACAAAATTAATTAATTACCTGAGATAAGAAGTATGGACATGGAAGAGCAACTGTTTTACAGTTGGCTGGAACTAGCATAGAATCCTAGGCACTGTAAGAACTTGTGTATGCTCTTGCTAATCTGCTGGCCTACCCTCTTGACAAAGCCCACCACCTGGACCTATAGCTAGTCAAACTTCTGCCAGTTCCTCTTCAGCCTTTTTGAGTTGTGGGCCAGATGTGTGTACACTTCCACAGAGCAGAGTACCAATTCACCTATATGTCATTCTTACTATCTTAGAGACAGTAAGAAGTAGTCACTGGTTCCAAGTTTATATTCATGATCTTTCTGGGGTCCTTGCTCTCATACCATTCCACATTCAACTTCCCTCCTTTTCTGAGTGTTTATTCAGTACAAGATGAACAGGCAACTGTCTTCTAAAGATTACTCTACTATTTCCATTTATTGCATTAGTTTTAATTCTCATGATTAAGCCAAATTTTATACTATGCATAAGAGTTCTGCCTCTGTAACTCCTGACACACTTAGTATGTACAAAAATCTTCTGCAAGTAAGACAAATAACTGAACAGAAGAAATTACAAAAGAAACAGAAAATCACACAAAAGAAAACCAAAAACAAAAAATACAGGATGTGCAATCTCATAAGCAATCATAAAATTAAAATGAGTTACTATTTTATACTCATCAAAGTAGCAATATTAAAATGTATGAAAACTCTAAGAGTGAGCCAGAATGTGAATCAAGAAGTTGTACCCATTACTGGTGGGACAAACTATTTAATTCTGGGGATGAATTCTGAGGACAAACTTGAAAATAGGCATTTCCTAAGAACTATCAATTCTGCACCTAGAAATAACCCAAAAGAGGAACATGTGAAGTCCTTTATGTAACAAATAATGATATTATTGTGAATTTCATAGTAAGGTCAGATACTTACCCAAAAGCTGGCAATCCAGGATGTGATGCTGGACTCCACTGTGAACTGTGGTAATGGCCCATAAAATAATCCCCAATGATCCCCACCTTTGGTTAATCATGCCCTTTTAAAATTCCATCCCCTTTTGTATGGTCTTGACTTATAATTAGTAAAAACCTATGGTGAAGGTGTTGGAATGTTACTCTCAAAATCAGGTTACGTAAAGAACATGGCTTGTTTTGGGAGTTCTCTCTTACTTTGAGGGATACCAGTTTTTACATTGTGAATTGACTTATAGAGAGGTCTACATGACAAACTGATGTCTCTACCCAATATCCAGCAAGGTACTGAAGTCTATCATCAATAATATGAGTGAGTCTGGATGTGGATCCTTCCTCAACTGTGCCTTGATGTGATTACAATACAGAAGCACTGCACAACATACTACTTTAACTGTAGAAATGTGAAATCTTCAGCCAGATATAGTGAGGTAAATCATGTTCAGATTCTTGGCCCATAGAAACTGTACAATTAAGAATGTTTGTTGTTTCAAGCCACTCAATTTTAGATTAATTTATAAATAGGCAATAAATAACACAATTTCCAATAATCATTGCTAATCCACAGTTATAAAGAATTTTTTCAGACTAGTAGGGATTTATAATCACCTAAAGTCACCCATTTGTACAATCAATAATTACTAGAGGGCTAATATGCATAGTTTTGTAATAGGGATAGAGTCATTAAAAAATGTTCCAAACCTATGCTTTCATGAAGTTTTGCATAATCAGACATTGGCAGTTGCCAGGAGTAGAACAGAGCAAACAATCAAGAGTGCACTAAAACCAATCTAAGTAGAGGTCGCAGTTTTAAAAGAGCAGTCAATGGTCTGAAAAGGTAACACAAATTCTAAAAAGTATAGAGTAAGTCATATAAGATTGGAGCAAATTCATTTCAAGCAAAGAGAACAAATGGAAAAGCCGTATGAGGGAGTGAAATTGACCAGTATTGCATCTAGATTTTTTACATGGACATTTGCTTTAATTCGGGGGTAAAATGGAGAGTTACTGTGTTTTGAAAGTATTATAATCATTAGATCAATGTTTTAAAAAGTTCATTCTATTGCACTTAAAAAAGATTGTGAGTGACAAGGTTTATGATGCAGGACTAGGGAAACACTAAATATAAAAGAAGGCAACAAGCTAAGAGGTCTCTATAGTAACCCCAGTGAAAGTATGGTGGTAAGACTAGGAAAGGAAAGATGAAGAATGTAAAAAGCGGCCACATTATATATAGGTTTTAAATGAAGATTCAATACAATCTGTAATTAATTTGTAAGGTACACATAGGTGTTGATCTAAAGGATGCCTAGTATAAATAACATTAAGTCAGAAGAATATTCTTTATTAATTATACTTTCAAATATTTGTTATTAATAATCCCCTGTAAAACCCATTGATACTGCCTTATTTCTGGACATTGTAATAACTACTGTCAATGACTTTTTAAATGCTTCAAATGTATTTTATTTTTTCAGTTATGCTGTGTTTCAAAACTCACAATCCTGGCTATGTCCCAGGGATAGTATGAAATAAACATTCAAAGAGGGAGGAAATGAATATGACCACAAAAAAAACAGCATTCATTACTTAAATGGCAAGTTGACTTGGAAATAATTTGGTGTTACAGTAACTATGTAGGTTACTCATCATTCCATTCTTTTGGGGTGACTCTGCCAACAGGGGACAGGTTCCACTCTATTCCAATCCGTGTGGTCACAAACACCCATGCAACTGTACAGAAAATGCTTCCACAGGCTAGAATAGAATTACCATATTTGTCATGAAAATCTGGTGAGCGCTTTGCATGGCTTTGTCTTGCTATAATTTGCTGAATGCTTCGACTCTTGAGGCTTCCTAGTGCATTTCTGGTCAAGGAAAACATCATGAAGGTGTGACAGGATTACAATTGATTGCAGTTGCTGGTCTATTTCCTAGCAAAGACACCTAGAAAAACAAAGATGGGCAATAACTTGTGGTCATATTCATTTCCTCCCTCTTTGAATGTTTATTTCATACTATCCCTGGGACATAGCCAGGATTGTGAGTTTTGAAAATTATTAAGCCTGGATTTGCTACTGATAGTTATATGAACCTGGGCAGTAATTTAAACTCTTTTTGGCTCAGTTTTATGAGACAAAACGAGTTTAAACTGAGTTTTTGCCTCAGTTTTTTGTCAATGGCAAACTAAGACAATAAAATGCCCTTCTAAGGAGTTTTGTGAGGTTAAAATGAGGATCTATAACAATGAAAGCCCACAGATAATGTTATCTTTTGTATTCTTTACAGTCACTCACTTGTTTCCCAGTCTTTAAACTTATTAGCGCAGCTTATAAAGTGGCTAAAATTCTTACCTTGCCCCACTTATCTGATAGCCTGCCCTAAAACTCTGGCCTCAGTCAGAATTACAAGCCATTTATTATGTCCTATCTCCTTCGCCTCCTCCTTTTCGCTTCTTTGTTAGCCAATTTTTTTGTTGTTGTTCCTTTTCCTCTTAAGTTCTTTTATACCTTACACTTTTCTACAGGCAAAATTCCTTCTGTTCTTTAAATTTCACTCTGAAAGTCACCATTTTTATGAGGTCTCCACATTTCCCTAGGCTTAATAATCCTCTTCTGTTCTTGGCTACTACCCTTCTCATAATCCCTCTTTCATAGCATTTCACTTTAATCATGTTTAAAACAGACTTCATTTTTTTAGTACAGTTTTAGTTTTTGTTTTCAACAAAAATGAGTGGAAAGTAGAGTCCCCACACAAATACCCTGACTACACACATGCATACAGTGGCACTCCTGTGCTAGAGTGGTCTATTTGTTGCAATTGTTGCAATGAACCCACATAGCAGTTTCTTAGCACAGGTGTCTCTTGTAATTATTTCTTCTGTGGTTTTCTTATCTTTTTCTTGAGAAATTTATCTATATATTCTCCTATGACAGACTATAAGATCTTCAAGAGCAAGAGAGATAAGTTTGCATAACAGTAGCTGACGCAAAAACACAGGAAGAATTTTTTTTAATGAATTGAAATATATATGAATGTTGGTAACCTCATAAAATGTTAAAGTGAACACAGAACAAATAAAAATAAAAAATCATGAAATCATATTATGATATGTATATTTATTTTTAGACAGATATACTGAACAAGCTATGTAGTAGCAGAACATATGGGGAATTCTGAAAATTCTTTGAGCAAGCTGTCAAACATTGCTGTCTCTAGCAATGACATTGTGGTCCAGTTGGCAACATGGACACAAAAGGGGCTGGAGTTAGTAATTGTAGACTTTCAACTGTTACTGAGAACTGCCAACTCAATAGACTATTCCCAACTTGTAAAACAAGACCCTAAAGTTATTTCTTATTTCTTAGAGGGTAAAGTGTGGTATATTCATGATTTGATACACTAAGTAAAATAAAAATTAATGCATTCCCTCTGTGATTCCAAATGTTCAAAAAAATTTTTTTTTTCTATTTAGATGAATCTTTCCACCAAACAGTAGAAAGGTTTTCATTTGAAGTAGATTCAGAGAAAAGGTTGAGGGTGAAAATGCTCAAGGTATGCCAGGTACAGACTTAATCCAATACTAAAGCACTTGTCCACACATTGCTTTCAGCTTTTAGAGAGGTACATAGCCAGAGAATAATTTGTGATAATAGGATCTCTTGTGGATCATCGACTCATGCCTGCTGCTTTATGACAAATTGATTTCATTATTCCTGTCCTCACCATGTTATGTTGAGTCTCAGATACCTTGTCTCTAGTGACAATGATTGCATCCCTTTGTAACCTAGATCATCCTTGGCTATTTCCATTTAACCTGAACGTTTTTGTACCAGTAAGTATTCATTACAGGAATGTCCCTTTAGGAACTCCTTCTGTAGTTTGTACCTGGTAACTCATGCAGTAATAAACAAACTGCTGTCTTTTCATTCCTTTTTATTTTCCTTGTCAGCATCAATACAGTGGTCTCAGTTACCTTAAGAACTATTTTATACTGTTTTTGTTTGTAAAACCAAGATACCCACTTGATTAGAAAAAACGTTCCACATTACTGAACTCCTAATGACTAATACAATAAAATTTGTGTTGGAGATCCCTATGCCTATTACCCAAATAAATGAAGCTATATGTTCTAATATCCATATGAAAGCATGAAAGAGGAATTCACTGATAAAATGTGGGGAAGAAAATGCTTCTCAGAATAAAAGTAGAAACAGACTACAAAGTGATGGTAAAAGACAGATGTCTCTGGGTAATAAGAACAAAGTAGAGGTTCTCTTCAGCCTGTGGCAATAAAATAAAAGAAATATTTTCTGAATAAATAAAAATAGTTAAAAGGGGCAAAGTATCCCATGAAAATAAAAAGATTTATTGTGTCATTTATTTATACAGTTAACAGTGAAGCTCAGTTTATGAAAAATAACTAATACTGGACTTCACTCTAACTGCACTAAGGGAGTATGTGGATTTGAAGCTTCACAGGCAATGTTAATAATTTCAAATCACTCAAGACCATAAAAAGAAGTAAAGCAATAATGCAGAAAGAAGACTAAAACTTATTAAACACATGCCTATGTGCCAGACATCATACCAGAATTTTGCATTTCTATAAAAATCATGTGAGATGATTATTATTTATTGTCAATTAACACACAAGAACAAATTAAAGAGCAAAATGTGAACTCAAATCCCTTGATTCTAAATTCACTACATTTACTGAGTTTCCTTAGGTATATTCAGTTAGGAGTGCTGGAAATAAAGTACAATCCAGAGTGATTACCAGAGATGGTTCTTTAACTGAAATTAGTTTTGCTTCAATTTATTGTGTATTTATTGAGTGACTGCTGTGTGTCATAGGTGGGTGCCCAATACCACCCTTATGAAGAAACAAACAGAACTGCTGTTTTAAAAGAGGACTTAAGTTAGAGATAAGCATAGGATGTCCTTGGTTGACAGAGAAGGGGAACATCTGAACCTGGCGTTGTAAAAATGGTTTTAGAGGGCCCTCCCTGGTGGCGCAGTGGGTTAAAGCACTGCACTGAGAAGCTAAAGCCACTTCCGCATGAGTTCGATTCCCACCTGCCCCGGAGGTGACCACATGGCGCGGCAGACCTCTCCTGACCCACCCGCTGCTCCCCTCAGCAGTGTACTTCGTCGATTTGCCTGTTCTGCTCCCCACTCTGTCTCTGGTGAAGCCTCTTGCCACCCCTGAGCCTCTGGCCTGTACCCCAGTTCTGTATGTACAAATAAATAATAAAATCTTAAAAAAAAAAAAGATTTATTTGTGCATACAGAACTGGGGTAATAATAAAATCTTAAAAAATGATTTATTTATTTGTGCATACAGAACTGGGGTTAATAATAAAATCTTTAAAAAAAAAGATTTATTTATTTTTAGAGACCCCAATAGCAAGGAAAATAAAAGCAAAAAAAAAAGTAGGTTTATATAATATTGACAAAAAACTTTTACACAGTGAAAAAAATGTAAGCAGACTGAGATGACATCCTACTAAATGGTAGAAGTATTTACATAGTATATAACAACAAAAAATGTGTTTTATGAAAGGCATATAAAAAGCTTATAAAATGCAACAGAAAAATAAAAAAACCCACTAATAAATAGGGATCTGAACAGACAATTCACTAAAAAGGATATCCAGACGGCCAAAAAGCACATAGAAAATTGTTCATCATTACTTTTAATAAGAGAAATGGCAAGTCAAAACAGTAAGAATGGCATACACCAAAAGGCAATAAAATTTTTAAAAATTTTAATGAAATAAAGCTTTTCAAAGTGAAAAAATAAATAAAGTCTCCCAACAAGAATTACTAAGAGGATATGGAGAAAGGAACCTATTACAATGTTGCTAAGAATGTACTCTAGCAATTTCATTTTGGAAAGTAATCTGAATTTACTGTAAAAAACTAAAAATGGAAATGTGATCCAATAACCCCACATTCTTAAGCATGTATAGAATGAACATGAAAGGATCAACTCTGAAAACAACTGCATGCTTAACATTGTTTATTATAGCATTATTTACAATAGCTAGGAACTGAAAACAACTGAAACTCCTACCCAAAATAATTGGATTAAGTTGTGGTCTATCTACACAATGGACATACAGGTAAGATAAAATGTTACTACTTATAATAAAATGTTACTATTAGTAACAAAATAGAATGAATTCAAAGGAATTATGTGTGGTAAAGCATAACAGAATGACTCAGACAAATACTGAATGGACATCTACATAGCAGATATTTTACAAAATACTTACAGAAGCTAATGAACACTAATGAACAAAATGAGGCAACTAAGTTTAAGGAGGAAGGGTAGAGGAGAAGGGCCAACAGGGTATGGCAGAAGGAACTAAATCAACATTTTAGCAAGTACTGGAGACCTGGGGATAGACTTATTAAAAAGAAATAGAAAAACCAAAATAGTGAGAGTCATAGAAAAAGTAGCAAAGGACATAGGGCTAACACTATGAAGCAGGACACTCGAGGAATTCATTAACACTAGGTAATAAATGCAGTAGCAGCAAATACTCTCTGATGAGCCTGGAGGGACAGGAATGGACAGCACACAGACTACTTGCTATGGCATCTGGACTCAATTCTGCATTGAATTCTATCATTGTTGAGGAACAGATCTTAAACTCAGTCTTTTCCATGTGGTTTAACAATGAAAATTCTAATTTTGTGCTTTTTACTTCCATGATAATAAACATATATAAGAAATAATAAGATCTATGATATAGTTTTTAATTTCTAGTATCTACTAAATACATTTATCTTTGCTCTACATTTTGGTTGCACTAGTCTATAATAATTATTTATCCAAGGCAATGTGAAAAAAATGGAGACAACTTTCATTTTTAAATA